ATGTTGGGAACAAGGGAAGAAGAAATAGGAGCTGAACACTGAGTCAGGCACCTTTCAGACACGGGGGGAGAGGGAGGATTTCTGATCCACAGCAGAGACCATGACAGAGCCATTGTGTCTCTCGCTGAACAGGTTTTCAACAAATCCTTCTGCAAAGAGATTTTTATTGTGAGGTTTCTGTTTGAAAGACAGAGCCAGCCAGAGCCAGCCCCCACGATAATCCCTGACAGCCCTGCAGTGCCAGACAATGTTCACAGGATTCCTAAAAATGCTCCAGCCATGAGTCAGTGCCCGCTGTGCCCAGGAGGGAGAAGTGCTGGTACCCAGGGGCAGCCTGGCAGGTCAGGACAGCTTTTACCTCCCTGGAATATACCTTTTTTTTCAGGGAATATTTACTAAAAAGGTTTATAAGCTCCAGTGCAAGTGCTAATGTGTTTAGAGGGAAATAAAGAAGGGAAAAAAAAATAAAAATGGGGATGGAATAAGCAAGGAAGGCTGAAAGAGAAATGGGGGATAAAGGTGAAAAAGAGCCTGGAAAAGAATTGGAGTCACAAGGCTGGGGAGGAGAAAAGTGAAGGCTGAGGAGTGCAAGAGAAAAAAAAAGGTTGATCAGAAATAAAAACAAAGACAGAAAAAATAGAAGCTGCAAAAGGGTAGAGGACCAAGAAAGGGTGAGGGGGGAAAGAAATGCAGAGGCTGAAAAGGGCAGGAGGCCAAAATAAAGTGGGAGGCCAAAGGAAAAGGAGAGACAAAATAAAAGTGGAAGGTGAAAAGGGGTGGGAGGCTGAAGAGGCACACGAGACATACGGGAAGGCCTGCCCAAAGAGGGGTCTAAAGTTTAATGGGTTCCTCAGGCAGGACAGGGCTCAGTGGTGATAAGGCAGCACAATATCCAATTGTTCTCTCTGCACACGGCTCAGCCCAGCTTCCTGCGGGCCCGGGATCTGCAGGAACACACACTTGGGATTTGTGCTGCACACAATTCTCTCCAGCCAGACCCACAGCCCTGCAAGCCCTTTGGATAAACTTTCCTTCCCAGCTCCACCTCAGCCCAGGGGATGAACTTTTCCTCCCGAGCTCCCTAAATGACTTTGGCCTTCCTCCCACTGCTGAGACCTTGATCTTCCTCCCAGCTGAGGCAGCTCCTCATGCAGCTGGCTCTGGCTCCTTGCCCTTATTCCCAACCAGCTGAGGCAGAGCCCTGCGGCACCGGGACCCCCGGGACAGAGGGGACAGGGACCTGAGGCTGACAGGGGGACAGGACAGGGACCTGAGGCTGTCAGAGGGGACAGGACAGGGACCTGCTGCTGCCCTGTCAGGGGTTTCACCTTTGCTAAATGGCCTGAAGGAGCCAAGAGGCTGCAGGTGCTGGCAAGGGAAGGGGCGGTGGGGACGTGTGGCCCCGGGGCCATGTCTCAGCCTGACACCTGCACCTCCAGCCAGGGAGATTGGAGCCTGCAGGAATTTGTGTTTGGCACGTTTGGTTTGGCTGAGAGAGCAGCTCAGAGCATGCTGGTGATGAGTTTTGGGTGTCAGGCCCTTCAGGATAATCCCTGTGGTGTTATTTCAGCCATAAATCATAGAATCATCACAGAATGGTTGGAGTTGGAAGGGACCTTAAAGCTCATGGAGTGCCACCCCTGCCCTGGGCAGGGACACCTCCCACTGTCCCAGGCTGCTTCACCCCCTGTCCAACCTGGCCTTGGGCACTGCCAGGGATCCAGGGGCATCCCTAATCATAATTAATTGCCCAGAGAAGCTGTGGTTTCCCCAAACTGTTCTATGGTTCTGTGATTTATTTATTTTGGATCAGAAATGAACCGTTTATAATGCTGTGTCACTGCAACAGTTTTCCTTTCTGTTTGTCATTCTGTCTGCTCAGGGGTTTTTTTTAGTTTGTTTGGATTGCTTTTTTTAATGGTCCAAATATTGTGTTTTGCCATTTAAAATGTTTGGGATTTAGTAAATTTCTGTTCAAATTCTGATCTACCCGGAGCTCCAGGTAATTTGGAGATTGTCATTTGGAGTGATGCTCCCATTGCTGAGCCACTCCTCCCTCCCAGGATTTGGGGGCACCTGCAGCGTTTTGGGGGGGTATGTCCCAGCTGAGGGGAGCAACACCCTGCCTAAAAAAACCCCAAAAGGTGTCCGTGGGGAAGGCACCTGCTGCCTCAGCCCATCCCAACCCGACCCTGCACTCCGGATCCTCCCTGTGCCCCTGGCTCTGAGCACCCCGCGGGGCTCTGGAGCTGCCAGAACATTCCCTGGCTCCCCGCGGAGCATCCACCAGCATCCCGAGGGGATCCCAGAGGCTGCAGCGAGAACGCGTGCCCTGGGCTCTGTTCGAGCATCCCGCGGGTGTCCGTGGGGCGCTCAGAGCATCCCGTGGGGCTCAGCCCCCCTCGCCCCCCGGCCCGCACCTACCGGAGCTGCGCGGCGCTCCCGGCTGCGGCTCCCGAGCCGATGGAACGGAGCGAGCGGGGATGAGGAGGGGGAGGAGGATGAGGAGGAGGAGGAGGATGAGGAGGATGAGGAGGATGAGGGGAATGAGGAGGATGAGGAGGAGCTGCCGCGGGGCGGGGGAGCGGCGGGAGGATGCGGGGGGAGGAAGGGGGAGGCTGAGCGCATCCAGCCGCACAGCGGGGCCGGGCACCTGCCCGCACTGCCCGGCTCCGGGGGCTGGGGCTGAGCCCCCCGGGCAGCAGGAGAGGGCAAAACCCCCCAGAAACCGGAGCGGAACCGGCCTTCCTGTCCCTCGCCTGCCTCAGTGCCTCCGGGAAGGCGATGAGCTCCCTCATTGCAGCCATCCCCGAGTGCCCCGGGCGGTGGGGACGGGGTCCCTGCCCTCGCCATGGGGTCCCTGCCCTCCCCGGGGGCAGCCCCAGGGCTATGCCGGGCTCAGCCGCTGGCACAGGGAGAGCTTGGCCTTAAAAGCCGACGCGTTCCGGGAGCGCTGTCAGGCGGATAAAATGCAGCTCCGTCCCCGGGGATGGGCGCTGGAGCCCGGCGGCGGCGCTGGCTCTGCCCTGGGGGCTGTGCCGGGACATCGCCGGGGGCCGGGGTGGGCTCGGGGCTCGGGGGGGGGCTCAGGGGTGGGTGCTGTGTGCCGTACCAGGTCGCTGCCGCAGCACTAATGAAGCACTAATGAGGCAGTGCCGGAGCCCGAGCGATGATCTGAGCGCTTGGCCGGGCTCCACGAGCCCTTTGGTGCGGTGATGTTCAGGCTGCGTTATCTAAAGCTCGCTCAGAACAGGATTTAATCTCGGCTCACGTGGAAGCAGTGTGTTTGGACAGGCATTCCGGGCTGGAAATGCCCGGGCCCAGACGTTTGGATAAAACATTCCCGAGTTGACTGTGGTTACCAGCGCCTGCTGGGGACAGCTCCTAACGCTCCCCCCAGCGCAGGTGGATTCGGAGCTTTCCGGATATATCAATACACATTTTTGCCCCCTTTATTTTGAATAATCCCACCCAAGATTTCCTCTTGCTTTTTCAGAAAATAAAAAGCAGATATAGCCAAACATTCCTGAATCTTAACAGAAGAGCAGGCCAGGCTTTGCCTCAGGTTCTCCTGGGCAAAAGGGTTGTGAGGCCATGAGGAAGATCAGGAAATACTGGTCCATTTTCTCACTCAAGGAACGCCCCCCTTGTTTCAGGGGCTGCCCCTCCCTGCAGCCCAGCCCTCCCCACTGGACCGGCTGCCCTTGCCCCGGTTGTGGCTGGAACTCAGCAGCTCTGGTGCGGTGCTTTGGTGCTTTGGTGTCCTGCCAAATTCGCGTCCTTTCTGCCTGTCCCGGGGGCTGATGGCCCCGGGATGGAGCCAAGAGCCGGAGCGAGGCAGACACAGAGCAAACACAGACTCGGGCAGCGGGATCTGGGCTGGGCACGAGGGAGAGGCTCAAAACCCAGACACCGACAGCGCTGCAGGGACCCCGGGCCCTGCACTGAGAGCCAGAGGGATGGGGACACTGCAGGGATGGGGTCAGTACAGGGATGGCGACACTGCAGGGAAGGGGGACGCTGCAGGGATGGGGACACTGCAGGGATGGGGGACACTGTGGAAATGGGGACACTGCAGGGATGGGGTCAGTACAGGGATGGGGACACTGCAGGGATGGGGGACACTGCAGGGATGGGGACACTGCAGGGATGGGGACACTGCAGGGATGGGGACACTGAAGGGATGGGGACACTGAAGGGATGGGGACACTGCAGGGATGGGGTTTGTTCATGGATGGGGACACTGCAGGGATGGGGTCTGTTCAGGGATGGGGACACTGAAGGGATGGGGTTTGTTCAGGGGTGGGGGCAGTGCCTTGGCAGCAGCTCTGTCTCCTCCCTGCTCTCCCCAGTCCAGCCCTGTCTGGGCAGCAGCAGCAGGACCTGCAGCAGGTGCCTGCGGTGTTTCTCGGGCTCTCGGGGTGAATTTGATGTGTGGCTGCTGCTGCAGTTCCTGTCCTGCCCCTGCCGGCAGGAGGAACCCGCTCCCCTCGCTGTCCCGTCAGTGTCACACACCTCCCGGGGCCGTTTGCAATCACGGTGAATAATTAACCACGGAGCCCCAGGAAGCTGCAGGCGCTTCCCTGCCTGGCCCCACACTCGGGCCGTGCCCGTGGGGGCAGCTGAGCCCCAGCCCCGCTGCCCCGGGGGCTCCACATCCCCCCAAACCTCGGTCCCACAGCAGAAGCCACTTAAGCAAATCTTCCTGCGAGTTTAGAGTGAGACCCACGGGACCCGCCAGTGCTGGGCTTTGGTTCCATCCCTCCTGATATTCCTGGAGGACCGGGCGGGCACCGCTCAGCCCAGTACGAGCTGGGAACAGCACCAAAGTGAGAGCCCTCTCCTGCCCCCTGCCAGCTCCCGGGGCAAAGGAGAAGGAAACCCCACCTGCAGCACACACGTGGAACCAGGAACGTGCTGCAAACCCCGCGGGAGAGGAGTGCGAAGGCCCCGGGGCTCTGCCGCCGCAGGATGTGCAGGATGCTGGAAAAGGCACTCACCCGAGGAGGCTCCAGGTGCGCTGGGGGCAGCAGCGCTGCCGAGCTGCCCGGAGGTGAGCGGGGATGTGCCGGGCTCTCCCTGCCCCTCGCTCCAGCCCCGGAGCCGGGCGGCTCCTGCCGGGATCGCGGGTCCCGCAGCCGGCCCGGCGGAGCGGCCCTGGGGCGGGCGCGGCTCGGCGCCCACATAGGACAGGGAACTGTGGATGGATAATCCTTCGCCTTGCTATTTTTTTCCTCTCATGTGATCTTGTTTTTGGACGGCTATTTTGGGGCTGGACTCCAGCCCAGGTGAAAGACAAGGATTGGATCCAGCCTCCCCCTTTCCCGGAGGCCGTTCCAGGAGCTCTGCGCGCCCGCCCGAGGGACAAACCCTGCCACCAACCCTCTCCCTGTCCTGTCCTTTCTGTCCCTTCCAGCCCTGGGGACAGAAGGGATGTCCCTAAAGGGATGGAACGCTGATGGGAGCGGCGGGGAGCGCCCCGTGCCCGTCACTCTCCACCCCAGGGCTGGCACCGGCTCGGCTGCACCATTTATTCCCCTCTTCGTGCCCGTTTCCCCCAGAGCAGCCTGGCAGGAAGCTGGCGGGAGATAAATAATTAAAAATATGCTCGGAGCGTGCAGCAGCCTTGGAATGAACCGCGGCGAGCCCCGGCCCCGGGCACTGCCATCAACCCTCTGATGCGGGAGAGGAGAGGGACAGGGACAGGAGAGGGACAGGACAGGGACATGGGGATAGACAGGGATAGACAGGGACAGGGACACGGGGACGGGACAGGACAGGGACAGGGGGACAGGACAGGGAGAGGAGAGGAGAGGAGAGGAGAGGAGAGGAGAGGAGAGGGACAGACAGGGACACGGGGACAGGACAGGGACAGACAGGGACAGAGGGACAGGGACAGGACAGGGACAGACAGGGACTCGGGGACAGGACAGGGACAGACAGGGACAGAGGGACAGGGACAGGACAGGGACACGGGGAGCCGGGCAGCTCTGCGGGCTCCTCCATTCCTGTGGAGCATCCTGCCCAGGCCTGCCCGGGGTCTCCTCCGAGGCCATCCCTGGGGACAGCTTGGTGCCACACGCTCAGCGCTGTCAGGGTGATTATTTTTATCCTGTTTGTGTCTCTCGAGCCGCTGAATGAAAGCTGAAGGGGGACACGGGGAAGGACAGCCTGGCTCTGGCTCACAGGCTGCAGATGTGGGGTGGGTGTCAGGGATGTGACGCCGGGTCTGGCTGTCCCCAGAGTGTCACTGAGGGCTCATCGCGCCCTTTCAGGGGGTGGTGGGAGAGGTGAGGGCCTGAATTGTGTCTTTGCGTGACTAAAACTCGTTAAAGGTCCCTGAGATGAGTCTCAGGGAAACCTGAATTTCCCTCAGATCCGGGAGAAGCTGGTTTGGCACTGACTGCGAATTGCCAGGGGCAGGTGAAGGACGGGACCCACCTCAGTCAGAGGTGGGTGTGATTTGGGTTACGGAGAAATGGGTCATTCAATGGGTGCTACAGATGGGAAAAAATCAGGTCCAAAATTAGATGTCACTTATTTGTTCAGCACATTTCCGAATCTTTATTTTTTAAAAAAAATATTCTATATATTAAGTATATGACATATATTGAATGTAGACTAAATATGTAAAGCTATTAAATCGTATTATTTTATTAAAGAATTATTTAATTGTTTTCTTATTCCTGCTCCCCATTAACCAGTTTTATGTGAAATAAGGAATTGATCTCTGATATTACTAAGTGCTCTCTTTTCGGGGGGACTCTCACCAGGGCCAAAGCTTTCCTCTTGCAGTCTCTCCAAATTTGGGTTTTTATTATAACAAGGTGAATTTTGGTAACTAGAACTACGAAGCCACTTTTCCTTTCAACAATCATCGAAGACGGAAGGGGGGAGGAAAGTCACTTTATAAAGGTAAGGGAGGTTTTAATGAAGGAAATGGTGAATAAAATGACTGAGCTGGGGAAATCCTTCAGGAGAGGGAGGCGCAGGGAGGCTCCGGGGCCGCCAGAGGGCAGCGCGGAGCCGCAGCAGGCGCAGCTGGGCACAGCTGGATGGGGCGGGCACAGCTGGGGCAAAGAGGGAGCGATGGCCCTGCCAGGGGCACAGCTGGAGCGGGACACAGCTGGAGCGGGGCACAGCTGGAGCGGGACACAGCTGGAGCGGGGCACAGCTGGTCTGGCTGCGGCACATCTGGCAGCCACGGGCTCTCCGAGGCCGGTGCAGGTGAGGGTGCAGCATCCACAGCTGGAGCACATCTGGGTGGCAGCAGAGCCGGTGGCAGGCGGTACAGCTGTCCCTGTGCACCGCTGCTGTCACACCCAGGGAGCAGCTGGTGGCCCCGGGGGGCTCCCAAAAGCCGCTGCAGCTGCCCCAGGTGTGGGTTCTGTTCCTGCGGGAGTAGGGGTGGGCTCGGGGCTCTGCCCCTGAGCCTCACTGAGATCCTCCTGCCCTCCCTGGTCTCTGCCAGGACCCAGCACTCGCCCAGGCAGACCCAGGACAGTGACTCTGTTTGTCCTGAACGTGGCTCTCGGTCCTGGCTCCTTCACCAGGATCCCTTTGGTGTTTCCCAGTCCCTGTTTCCCAGGAGGGAGCAGCCCCAGCTGAGGAATGACTCCCAGCTTTGTATTTTAACAAATGACCTGAGACACTGAACCGATGCTGTTTACTCGGCTGGGCATGAGCTCAGAGTCCAGAGCTGCCTCCCAAAGGGCTCTCCTGGATACCCTGAGCAGGCCTCCCTGTAATTACATTCCAGGGAAAACAGACATCTCCTGATTCATTTAATATGTGCCACGTTGCATTTAGATATATAACAGAAGCCCCATTACCTTAAAAGTCCTGCTGTTATCAACTACTGGCTTAATTACAGTTTTATCTAAAAATAGATCAAGTTAACTTGACAGAATCCATTTGTCCTTCTCCCCTGGCTCCCAGAGATGTTTCCTCCCTGCAGTTCCTGCTCCATCATGACCAGCATCAATCCACTGCCACAGCCTTTCCCCAAGAGCTGCTGAGATCCCACGGGCATTTTGCTATTCCCTCACCACGGTCTTCCAAAATTACCAAGCACAGAATCACAGACTTGTGGAATGGTTTGGATTGGAAGAAGCCTTAAAGCCCAACTTGTTCCAGCCCCTGCCATGGGCAGGGACAACTCCCACTGTCCCAGCTTGCTCCAAGCCCTGTCCAACCTGGCCTTGGGCACTGCCAGGGATCCAGGGGCAGCCACGGCTGCTCTGGGCACCCTGTGCCACTTACATATAAATACAAATACATACAAATACATATACATATATAAATATCCAAACACAGAGAGCCCAGGAGGCTCCTCAGGCTCAGGTTATCCAGCTCTGGCTGCTTTTAACCTTTCTGACCTTGGGACCTGCTGCCACCCAGGGGATTCCTGCGGGCAGGATGTGGTGCATCGCCCACCGCTCCTTTGTGGTCGTTCCCAGCTCCCACCCAAGGTGACGCCCAGAGCCAGCATCTGCTCATCAGCCTCACTTTCCTCTTTCCTCTGATTGTTGTGTGGTTTCCACAGCTTTGCAGCTGCCCCACTTCCCTGGAAGCCAAGCTAAGGCAGCTTTCTTCCCACTGGGGAAGGAAAAGGCTCTGAACAGTGTCTGTCATCAGCAGTGGTGGCTCTGAGGAAAGGTGGCAAAATCCTGTCTGTGACCATCCCCTCAGAGCTGTCCCAGCTGCTCCCTGGGCTCTGCTGGGCACTCTCTGGCTTTTCTTTTATTTCCCATGTGCTTGACAACCAGCACAGACTTTCCTCTCCTCATTTTGGCACGAGCAGGACGAGGCCGTGCTCCGGCACTGCCGGTGGGACTGCAGGTGCTGCTGCTGCAGGGCCAGACATGGCTGGAGCAGGGATGGATGGACTTGGAGGATCCCAGCTCTCCCTGGGTGCTGCTGGTGGATCTTTCTTTGCCTCGCTGCCCCAGAAGGGCTTTTCTCCCCGCTGGGTGAGGGAGGGAGGGGAGAGCAGCCCGGGACCCCGGCGTGGTGGCTCACTCAGGAATGTCAGCTCCGCTGGATTTTCTGACCTGAACCCATGAGGAAAACAGAACTGTGTCTGAGAGCTGCTCCAGGAGATACCTCACCACCCAAAATCTCCAAGAATTCCTGGTTTTGTCTTTGTCAGCCCAGCAAACAGTGTCAGGCCAGGGCTGGGCACACAAAGCAAGGTCGGTTAGAAGCCGTTCTCCTGGAACAGAGGCACTTGGAGCCGGCACAAAGGAATCTCTGTCTCTCCCCTGCACTGGCATCCTGGCAATTAACCCGGAAAATCGCAGCTTGGCCTTGTCCTGGGCGCTGAGTGCGGGGCTGGGCAGGGCAGGGGGCGGCCGGGGTCCGGCTGTGCCGAGTGCGGGGACAGGGAGCGGCCACAGCCCCACCGGCAAGCGCCAAATGAACGGGAAACTCGCCTGCTTCCAGAAAAAAGTGAGGAAATCATTTGGGTCTCTACACTCAACTGGGTTTAGGAGATGCATGTCCAAAACCCAGAAAAATTAAGAGTCACCTGATGAGAGCATCGTGGAAGAGCCTGAGCTGGAAGGGACCCATGAGGATCGTTGTGTGCAGCTCCTGGCCCTGCACAGGACATTCCCAAAATTCACACCATGGATCCAGCGTGGGCATCCTGACAGAAACACCGAGCTGCTCCCATCCCCGTGGAACAGCCACCGTGCTGGGAGCACCAGGCAGAAACCCAGCCCTGCCCTGCCAGGCTCTGCTGGAAACATCAGAGCTCAACACAGCGGCCTGGGCAGGGCTGGTGGGGCAGATAAGCCCAGCACCATGGGCTGTGACAGCCTCCAGTGTGTCACAGCACTGGCACCACCGTTAGAAACACTGCAATTAGCTGCCCAGGCTGGGCTGATGGATGTGCAATTACTCCTGAGTAATTAAGAAATTTTCTGCATTGGGTTTGCCACCGCTCTTCCCACTGAAAAAGTGAGAGATGAAGCCAATTTAAAAGTAATTTTTAAAACTTTAGGGTTGTTATTTTCACCCTTTTTTTGTTTCACTTTTAACTGTGTAAAGTCCCTGGCAAACCTCCCTGCAGCTGATAAAGGCACAAAGGAGTGAGGGAATTGAAGGTACAAAAAGGAGGGCGGTGAGGAAGAGTGCAAG